ATATGGCTGCTGAAGTAACCTACAACAGGACACGTGATGTACTGATATGGCTGCTGACGGTAACCTACAACAGGACACGTGATGTACCGACTACAGACTGCTGATGGTAACCTACAACAGGACACATGTTGTTTCTTCAAATAGAAAGCTGTCGAAGGTTGAAGGACATCTTCAACAAAACCCGGTTTTTAAATGCATCTGAATGTCACCTTCAAAAACACGTAATAGCGTGAAAAAAATACTTAAGGTCACCTTTAACATAACACGTGATGTTGTTTAAACATTACTGACACATTCTGTCATTAAAAGATACTAAATACTTCAAAATCAAAATAACAGATGTTATTCAAATGCTATTAAAGGTCACCTTCAACAAAACGCGGGATGATTAAGAACGCTACTGAGCATCACCTCAACAAAATTGAGATGATTACTGAGGGTCATATAACAAATGTTGCTGACCTGGTGGTGAATACCGACTACAAACTGCTGATGGTAACTATCAAGAGGACACGTGATGCAAACAAAAGGCTACTGAAGGTCACTTTCAATAACGTTTATAAATTATTATTCAAATTACACAGGCTATGTACATTTAAATAATTCAAAAGAAATGCAATGAGGTGACTCTCCATGTTCTCAAATCTCCGCCAAAACAATCGCTCTTGGATTAAAATATCGTGCTTTTATTTTAACCATAAAAATAACATTTATCATCATTTGGACTTTGCAATATTACGAAGAAAATGTGGAATTGTTTGTGGTATTTCTGTTACCAACGCAGCAGATATGCTGACTCAGAGTCGTTTCTCACACTGAAGTAATGCGAATTCGGCCGTATATCTGCTGCCCCTTGATCACATTTCTGGTGAAGCTAGGAATCACTGGCTTCATACAAACTGTACTTTAATCTTATATAAGTATACACAGTCTGTGTAACATCGGGATCGATGCTTCACAATCATCCATCTGGCTGTCTCCCGCGCAAGCTTCTGTCGTTACCTTAGATCCATACGTGATTATGACAGGCTGTTATGTCTGCAGTAAATATTTAACTGTGCCACATACGTCTGTTAGATATCTTATAACATGTTTTTCTCGCCATTTACGGACAACGGAGCCATTAGAACCCCGACATAGGTCCTATTGATACAGATAGGCAAACACATCGTGACACAAACAAAACACTGTATTTGTCTTTACAATAACATTTTGAGGTATCCAATCGGACGACGTCGACTTATCGAAACACGAAAATAGCATTACAGGGAACTGTTGTAAAACCACCGGCTGTTACACAACCTACCTACCGATTACATCAAACTGGCGTGGTTTGCGTCTTTACATATCATACCGGTAACATCAGCTGATCCTGCACAATCTCAAACTGAAACCATAAATAGCTCTGTTTGGTTAACGTCATGCTTAAGGTGTTAAAACACATTAAAAGTTGTTTACGTAATGAAGTGGCTTGCCGAGTAAATGAACGATTTTCTAAAATAATATGTTAAATGGTCTTTCTCCATTAATAACCAGGTATGACAATGACAACTCTGTGACGTTTCAGGACAGACTTCCCTGCATTGTTTAAAGTACAGCTAGATGAACCCAACGTGTACCTGGCCCGACAGGATCAGCCTTACATCAATCCATCAAACCAACCACTCTTCCGTAGGTGGAAAAAAAAAACACATTTTAGGATAAACAATGTAAAATATCATTAAGACAAAGCAAAAAACACTATTTACGTTCCTCCCGTGCCATGCAAAAATGGTGATTATCACCACAAAGTGATTCTATCACTGGGCACTCAACGTCCCTGTCACGTGATCGTAATACAAATGATTGAATACACCATGCATCACATTTACAACACAATCGTTAAAATATACAAAGACCACATGGCACAAGTATTTATGGAGTTAATTTGTTACTGTTTACCATAAAATGGACAAAAATAAAGATCTCCAAGACAATCTTGTCTTCAAAGTACATGGTATGTTCATTGTATGTTCATTTAAAATACTTGAAATAGCGGTATTTACACGAATTTATACAGCGGCAAATCAGACATAGATAATAACAGAAGATAGTTCTATGATGAAGTATGGTCATCTTAAATAGAAGGTCAACAGCATTAAATCTTAATAAAAAGTAAATAGTAAAACCATGGGAAAAAACCTCCATGAGTCCAATATCTAAAGGAAAATATTTTACATCAATCGTTGATAAATCACATGTAAATATCTGTCATTAATAAATCACATGCCGAACGGTATGAGGTGGCTAGTTGTTACCAAGGTTACATTCTCTCTAGTCGAGCGGTATGATGTGGCTAGTTGTTACCATGGTTACGTTCTCTCTAGCCGAGCGGTATGATGTGGCTAGTTGTTACCAAGGTTACGTTCTCTCTAATCGAGCGGTATGATGTGGCTAGTTGTTACCAAGGCTACGTTCTCTCTAATCGAGCGGTATGATGTGGCTAGTTGTTACCAAGGTTTTGTTTTCTCTAGCCGAGCGGTATGATGTGGCTAGTTGTTACCAAGGCTACGTTCTCTCTAATCGAGCGGTATGATGTGGCTAGTTGTTACCAAGGTTTTGTTTTCTCTAGCCGAGCGGTATGATGTGGCTAGTTGTTACCAAGGCTACGTTCTCTCTAGCCGACCGGTATGATGTGGCTAGTTGTTACCAAGGCTACGTTCTCTCTAGTCGAGCGGTATGATGTGGCTAGTTGTTACCAAGGCTACGTTCTCTCTAGCCGAGCGGTGTGATGTGGCTAGTTGTTACCAAGGCTACGTTCTCTCTAGCCGACCGGTATGATGTGGCTAGTTGTTACCAAGGCTACGTTCTCTCTAGCCGAGCGGTATGGTGTGGCTAGTTGTTACCAAGGTTACGTTCTCTCTAATCGAGCGGTATAATGTGGCTAGTCGTTACCAAGGTTACGTTCTCTCTAGTCGAGCGGTATGATGTGGCTAGTTGTTACCAAGGCTACGTTCTCTCTAGTCGAGCGGTATGATGTGGCTGGTTGTTACCAAGGCTACGTTCTCTCTAGTCGAGCGGTATGATGTGGCTAGTTGTTACCAAGGTTTCGTTCTGTCTAGCCGAGCGGTATGATGTGGCTAGTTGTTACCAAGGTTACGTTCTCTCTAACCGAGCGGTATGATGTGGCTAGTTGTTACCAAGGTTACGTTCCTTTTAGCCGCGCGAGCTTAGCTTTGCTTAGAGTTGTCGATCATTGGACTTCTGCCCACGTTTGGCTGAGAAATAAATCCGCAGATTTAGTAGTGAGTCAATAGACCCTTATTGGCTATTCTAAGGGCAGGTTATGGAACAGATCTCCTTAGAACTATATTATCTGGATCATTCTGCAGCTACCTTGCCTAAAACTATTGTCGTTTCTGATTTACAATATCCGCCGATACAGACCACCAGCCACCTGGTTTTATGAAGATATAAATCTTAGTGGTTTATCTCGCTCTAAGCGACAACAATAGCCGCCAGTAGAAGAATCATGAAAGTATTGACATACTTCCTCAACCCTATCACAACCTTTTCTCGGCACCAAGTCCTAGCCCTTTACATGTGAGAAGGATATAATGTCAAAGTGCCTGACCCGTTTATCCTGAAAACCTATGTGATTAGGTGTACATTCTTCCACATTAAAAGCTATACCAATAAAACAGTCTCCGTAACAACAACAGAAACAACACGATAACACAAACAAAATGATACAAATATTTCATCTTAAAATCGATTAAAGGAGTGCAACTGTGAACAAAGTAAAGACTTGATATACACGGACACCTTTGAATGAAAAAGTACAAGAAGAAAAAATGTTGCGCGCATTCATATAAATTTGCAGAAAGGTTATTGTTTTCATACCAGTACGAAACTAAAAACTATTCCTATCAAAGCTGATATTTTTTGAAAGAAAATTTGGTTTGAGAAATTCTGTGTAGAGAATTATCACTAAGTAGACCAAAAGATTCCTTGTCGTCAGTGAAATATATTTTCTGATTTGTTACACAAATTGTAACTAAAACCTGGTATTAGCGGGTTTGTTTTCTGTATTAACGTTAACATTAACATGTTTAAGGTCCTCAAAACAGTTAGGTTCATATGAGAAATGGCTTCAAGAGGGGAACCAAGAGTGAACAATAAAGCTTCGAATGAGAGAAAGGTATAAAAAAAGGATATTATCAACATCAGACTACATATAGAAGACATAGCCGAATGGTGCGGCGGACCCAATTTTAGTCGCCTTCTACAAAGATGCAGTGAAATACAGCAGACACTATTTGCTCGGTTCTCAGTTGTCCCGAAAACAGAAGGCATCAGAAAACCAAACTCAAACTGCAAACAGTTTGATACAGAATGCATAGCCTTTCTACGACTACTTTTCACGTGTCATTATGATCTGATTAGAAGTCAATGGAACCTTTTACACGACTACTGCACGTGTCATTATGATCTGATTAGAAGTCAATGGAACCTTTTACACAAATTAGGTAATACCAGATTGTTGATGTATATGAATAAGACTCAAATCCATATTGAAAAACCCGTCTTTCACCATTGGTAGCCACTAAATTATTACCTGTGAAGGTGTACAAGCCTTACCACACTCTGGCTGACTTAGAAAACTAACTAATTCGTGCTTGTCGAAATCAATTCTACAAATCACGCTTCTGAATTCGGGTACAAAACGAAAGTCTTACGATACGTTCGCGATTTTTTTATCTGACTCCCAATGGATCATTAGCTGTATTATGTCTGTGGTGAAAAAATACGATTGAAGAAATATGATCAGATTTACCCAGACCATATATTCAATGACGTAATAACGCCGTGAAATATTTTTACAACCGAAACGAGTATAATACCGTCAGGACATACTCCCAAACACATGACGTCACGAAACCTACGAATTCATAAAACCTTTCTTAATTTGCATTTAGACACACATTCATAGGAAGTTTTGAAAGACGTTGATACAGAATTTACAACACGTACAAGTTTTGACAGGATTTGGACATGTCTTCTTTACGGAATATTTTGTTGAGAAGTGACTTGCTCTTGTTAATGCAGCCCTGCGCAACCTCAGCGCGCGTGCGCGGTTTGTCTTGCTGTTTGAGTTTGAGGCGGATCTGGCTGAGGATGCCAACAAGAAGCTCGTCGATGTTGTGGTTGACTACTGTGGATGTCTCAACAAACTTGGAATCATACGTCTTTGCTACAGCTTTCGCTTCTGTAAGGAAAACAGACAATATAAAAACAATGTATCTAGTAGGACAGCAATATACTTTGGAATTATCATTCAAGAGAAGTAAAGTTTAACATCTTATGAACATAATCTAAAACGTCGAGACAACCTGATAGACTGTCCTATTTAACTATATCTACAAACGTGATTGATACGACGTTTCTAAAACAATAAACTAATAACTTGTTTTAGTGTTTTGATAGAAATGTAATTTGTTAATATGACTATATCTTACATTAAATACGGTTTTACAACTTGTAATAAGGTGTATTTATATTCCATGATAAATTCTCATACAACACAAACAAAATGGTGACCTCCTCTTAACCAGTGGCTATTCTGTGTTATATTACAGAATTCACATGCAAGGAATGCGTATGTACTGTATCATTTAAAATTAAACATGCAGCTCTACCATTGTACAACAGACCTATAGTTAAACAGTTATCAGTTGTTATGTGAGGATTATTGATAACGTCCGGTTTAACACGATTGTACGAAAGACAGACACGTGAATTGCATCTTTAAGAGTTAGATACAGCAGAGACGAATGATGAATTAAACTGCATTATACAGCTGTTTTTCCTTCTAGGACTCGTCAGTAACGTTAAGTGCCTAAAGTTTGAAGCCTTGGGGATACTACCATCGTACTGATACCGTTCTCATTCAACAACAACTCAATAAGTATTACAACATCACACTACCGAATTCAGATCTTAATCAGTGTCTCCAAAAACAAGAAATCTATTTCTAGATCAACTGGTGTAAAGGAGGGAAATGTTGTTTAAAAGTAAAAAAAACAATTAAACCTGATCTAGGTGATAAGCCTAATGAAAAGAATAGGTTTTCTCTCATATGTGTAGCTAGTAACGTTTAATCAAAGATGGATATGTCATTCTTTGGCTAAAGTTTCACTTTTGATATCAATTTAGTGATAAGGAGTGGTGTTGAACGCTTTCCTTATCTTTGTTATCTTTGTAATTACATTGCAATACGCGTTTATATCTGACGAGAACGATTTCCTCTATTACTAAAATCTATTAACAATAATGATTTAATCAACTCTACTGCCCGGAATGATTCATAACGAGCTGAATTCTTTAAGAAATGGTAAATTATGTTTATATAAACATGGTTTCAGTGGCAGTAGTAACGGGACATTGTACTCTGATTAAATTACACGCGGTATACGCGACTATCACCTCTATATATTTGTGTACGCGCCGTAGGCAAATTAACCTTCACTTCAAATTAAATTTCAGGATTGATACAAAGCCTTTCATTAAGTTGACACAAGACATGCCATCGGTGTTTTCTCAAGATAGATATAGTAAAATGAGATTCCGAAACACAATCAAGAACCACATTTCCCCCTAAATTCATGAAATAAAACTTATAAAGAGCAGGCAAGCTTTCGCACCAGTCTTGTAGGAATATGTAATTTTGTCATTTAAAGTAATAATCCACATTGATTTCGGTCTCAGAACTACATCCTATACTTCAGAGCTGTCACATCCTAGGCTTAGTGCTTTAGGTTTAATTCAGATCGTAATTAGGATGTTGAAAAGACCGCCAGAAGGAACAGTACGACGAAAACGCGACAATTTACAAAGTGCATATTGTTAATTCCAAGTGGGTGACGTCTTCTAAGAAAGCCCGGTTGTTATCAAGTCATATAAATGTTCCTGATAAATTTATGCGATATATTTAGGATTGTATTTAGATTTGATACGCGTGCGAACTTTCCTTACAACAATCTTAATCAAATTGAAAAAAATGTCTACCTTTTTTTAATTTCCTTTTTTTTAGACATGTTTTACTATGTTACAGCTTTTCCTAGCCACCAAGTCATATGAATTTGGAGTTGGCAAAGGAATTACCATAGACTATATCAGACATTTGAAAGACTCTTTATGTTATCGGTCCTTTGTTCGAGAACGCTGAAGTTCTGAGTTTTGTTCTTTGTAATCAGACATTCATAAGCATTTCAAAATCGTAGATCCAATAGATGTGTTACTATGTTTCTGTATTGTACTCATTGTGGTCGTGTTTTTATGCCCATGACAACGAAGTTTGAGAGTATAATGCAGTCAGTTTGTCCGCCCGTCCGTATACAATATTTGTCCGTCTATGCATTCGCTCAGTGTTTAATAGTTTTTTTTTCAAAATATGAATTGCCATTACCATATGGAAATGTGCCCTCGGAAGGGATTTTTGCATTTCGACCTCTTTAAAGGAAGTTATGCTATTTTTATGTAAATTTCCCGACTACACATTAGCTCATTTTTCGATGTTATTTATGTATTTAGTTTATCATTTAGTGCCAGTACCATAGGGCGTTGCGTCCCTGGAGTGTTTTTGCATTTCTATTCTTTCTAAGGTTGATTGGTAGATTAAGTAACAGATTTTCTGTCTCTGTGAGTCCTACCGTTACCGAATTTTTGTCGACCTGTGACCTGCATCCCCCGCAGTGGGATGGAACCGGTTGTGGTGGTGTGTGTGTGTGTTTGTAGTAGTTTGTAAACACGGCTCTTGTGCCTAACAATGCCTTATCCTATGTCTAGCAGTCTGAAACATGTCCAGAAGTGGTAAGGAAGGACTAGGGGCCTACATAGATTCAGGTCAGGGTAATTTTGAAGACCGTCGAATCCCTTCAAATATTGTATGACCTAACAGTATCTATAAACCCTTGGACCGGCGAAATCACGCCTTCTCTTTTCCGAAAAGCCACAGAGGGAACTCTGGCGTGCGAGAGTGGAGAGTCCTTACACGGGCCACCCTTTAAAGTCCCATTCTTGGTGCAGGTGCAATATACACTTATACGATTGAAAAAAATGGATATTTTTTGTTGTCCTATCGTGAAAACTTTTCCAATCAATAGACAAAGTAACTCGATCACTTTACAAATGTCAATTACTTTCTGATCATTCATTCCAATCCATCTGTGTACGTCTGTTCACTATTCCGACATTTTAAAATTATATAAGTTATTTGTGTGAACGTGCAGATTTAGAAGGGTTATGAGGGGTTTCGACAAGATAAGTTATTATTTTCAAGTAGAAAGTGCTTCAAAAGACTGAGATTATCTAGGATAGATTTAAGATGTAGAATGATATTCACTACACTGGTAGAAGGGTTTGATTATGTTTAGGCTATGTGTTTAGGAGGAGTAATATGTTAATCCTAACTGGTTATATTCTCAGTAGGACAAGTGAGAAATAAAATTGTCGGATCAAACCTATATACTATTACATACATTTTGTTTTAGCCCGAGGTTTGAGTAAAAGTAATATCTTTATAGGGTGAGAGACGGGGTAGGGGAGGGGCGGGGTCTTGTCTGGTGTTTATTGGTCCTATGTCAGTATCTGTTCGTGTACATGTATGTATGCATAATTGATTTGTTTTGGATTCATATATATAGACATATATATTTTTTAAATCAGTAAAGTCTGACGTTGCGTTGTTTGTTTTGGGCAGGTTAATTTCGATTAAGGTCTTTATATATCTCCCTGTGTTCTGTGACAGATAATCAAATCTGGACTCGCCTTAATTTGATCTATACCGAACATTGTAGTGGATACAGTTTGGCGTACATAAGCGATGTGATAATAAACCACACAGCGATATTTTAGTCATTAGAAACATGCCGAGTTTGTATTGTTTTTGTACTTTAAAGAACGAAGTGTATTTCCTCTTTAGGTTTGTATCAATTTTCTTTTTAAGGGAGTTATGTCCCTTTATATGAAAAAGTAATTGTGATAACATATGTAACGTTTTTGGATGCAATATCTATCCCATGCAGATAATGTGTATATCTATCTACGATGCATATTATGCTGACTTGTGCCTTTTGCTGCTATAGAAACTACAGCATCTCACAATTTTATGTTTTATGCAGTTAAAATGTAAAAAGATTTTTTGTCTATTTTCCTTTATGAGGTGTGTTTCAAGTGTGACACTGCGAACTGTGTTTACAATCTATGGTGTGAATAATAACCTTGAGAAAGCGGGAGGTAAACTTATCACCCCCTCTGTAGGTATTTTACTGTACAAACATTCTACGGTCTGGTATTTGTCGGAGAAACTGTTTACAGCGACTAGACTAAATTTCAATGCTCCTTCGATTTCATTAAGATGCACTACGAGTTTTCGCGTCAAGGATAACGATTTCACTTAGCATATAACTGGCTCACAGTACTTGCATGTAAATACAAATTTAGTCCTAGCAATTAAGCGATAGCAAAAATATTTTGTGATTTATTAACAGCAATTGACTCCGCATTTGCATCACATTGCACAAAACACTCTTACACCATAACAAAGGTGCAGTAAAGCGCCGGGATTAAAAACACTGGATTACATCCAGCCAGAGTAGCTAAGATAGAGTTTCACCATAATACAATTATCCTAAATAATGACTTGACACAGGCGTGTGAGAGTAAGATTACTTTTCTAAGAGCCTGCTGTAGAGAGCATAAAAGGACAAATGACTGGCTCAAATAGATTCTAACTGGTAGGAGAATGTTCCTGGAATGTCTACTTAAATGGGGGACAAGTCATATAAACGATAAAATCTGTCACTGAACTCTGGAGTACTTCCACTGCAGGAGTTAATTACGACTGTGATACCATTGATTGGATTTCACATTGGTTAATGAAAAGATAAGTACCACCCTAAACCAAACCCATTTACCCTTTCCTATCACGACGTGAAAACCGTTTTCACCTGTGTATAATAAAGACTGTAACTTATGTCAGAAGCATAATGGTTAGTAACATATCAAAACATCTCTGATCTTTCCTAGCCAGGAATTACAAATTCCCAGAACTAGTCAAATAGTAAAAACCCAGACAGCAAACTATGTAGGTTTTCAATCGAGCAATGTTCCATAAATGCCACCTATGCAGACAGGTCGGATATACTGTAGATACTCTAACATATCTAATATTAAAATTACATATTGGAGGTGACTTTATTTCTATTTTGTCTCTGGAGACAGTATTGCTAGAGGTTCTAATCACAATATCTCCTACAACAGACGTATAACTCAATCTTTTCCAACGCCGTAACTAACAATAAACCTGATGATTTCAATTTCCTTTCTCTGGATAGCAACATTCTACCATCCCCGACCGATGGTGTTTATATGCCATAGTCGATTCGTTATTCTGGGGCCTGTTCCCAATATCATGATTTTCGTGCAAGATGTCAACTGACGAACAAACTCGTAACAAAATGTTTCAAAAGATATAGTTTGATGAAAATTATGGATAAATTTTACGGTCGTCACAGTGATCTCCAAGGAAATATCACATCTCTTTCTGAGACATGAAGCTGGACGTGTATGATGCTCGTTTGAAATTATCATTTGAGAGCGTGACATTACTTATTTGGATCGACCAAGGTTTACACGGCGAATGACGTCGATGAAGCAGAAAATTACTCTTCCGGAACACCTGGTCTTATTCTCCTTGTACTCTTTTGGGAGTCTCCGTGTATTTTTTTCTTGTGTCCATATTGTTTTGTTTTTATTGAATCTGAGTCAGGATTATGTGCAAATGTTGTTGTTTTTTTGTCTCTGGAGACAGTATGAAAGATATCTTAATTCATATGTTGCCTTTGGGTACAGTATGAAAGGAAAAAGGTCTAAATCACTATTTTGGTTTCTGAAAGAGTATGAAAGGGATCAAATCAATATTTACCTTTCAAGAAAGTATGAAAGGGGTCTTAATCATTGTTTTGTCTTTGGAGACTGTACGAAAGGGGTCTTAATTACTATTTTGTTTTTGGAGACAGGACGGGAGGGGACTTTATCACTTTTTTCACCTTTATCTACATCTGTATATTAATGTATGTCATAGTTTGAAATCATTTAACCTTCTAAAACCTTCTGAAAAACAAAAATCTACAAACAAGTCATAGAGTGGTTCTTTATCCTTAAGTTACGTCACATTAAAACCTACATGTACTTCGGGGTAGTATAAGAAAATCCAAAGCTTATATTTTACCTAGGTAAGCTTACTTATTTGAGAAAGTATGTGTATGAAATGGATGGAAATAACTTTAAATCACCTAAGACTGTGCAAAATAATCGAAATATATTACCATACGGATATTGTGGCAAGTTTGATGTTCATGCTTTACCTTGTAGGAAGAATGTAAGGGGTCTAAATCTTTGACAGATATTGTATAGAAAAGGTTTAAACATTTCCTTACCTTCGATGGAAACTGTACGGGATCGTTCTAAATCACATTTGTTTGCCACGAGAATTGTTGCGTTTTCCTTCTTTTCGTCCTTGCGAAGACAATAGAGAAGATCGACGGCCCTGTCGAACGTCTGTCTATCATCCGTAGCATAAACTACAACGTAAGCGTCCACATTGTCCTTGTAATCCCATCCCTGAAACATGTGATACTTAAATAAAACAGAGAGTAAATACTGGTCAGTTTAAAAAGTTATTGGTGTATAATGTATTTACATCGACGATCATTAGAAGATACCACATGGATTGTCCTGTGGACCAACTGACAGTCTCAATATGGAGGCGAGTATACTTCAGGGACACATGATCTCCGTCTAAATCTTTATTATGTTCTTATGTAATTTGTCCTCCTTTCATTATTTTGTGTTTGAAGGAAGCTGATGTAGACATGTAGGTGTATTCTCTTTGTCTTTTCCTGAAGTTCGTTTTGTCTCATGTTCCAGACACAATCGATTTCTAACGCATTTAGAACACGCAGTTAACTTGAGACCTGCAGTATTCACGTAGTACCAACATGACTTAAATGACTTTTAACAGTATTACACAATGTACTTCATTAGAACAGTATTACACAATGTACTTCTTTAGAACAGTATTACACAATGTACTTCATTAGAACAGTATCACACACAATGTTCTTCATTAGAACAATATCAAACACAATGTACTTCTTTAGAACAATATCACACACAATGTACTTCATTAGAACAATATCACACACAATGTACTTCATTAGAACAGTATAACACACAATGTACTTCTTTAGAACAATATCACACACAATGTACTTCATTAGAACAAAATCACACACAATGTACTTCTTTAGAACAGTATTACACAATGTACTTCATTAGAACAGTATCACACACAATGTACTTCATTAGAACAATATCAAACACAATGTACTTCATTAGAACAATATCACACACAATGTACTTCATTAGAACAATATCACACACAATGTACTTCATTAGAACAGTATTACACACAATGTACTTCATTAGAACAATATCACACACAATGTACTTCTTTAGAACAAAATCACACACAATGTACTTCTTTAGAACAATATCACACACAATGTACTTCTTTAGAACAGCATAACACAATGTACTTCATTAGAACAGCATAACACAATGTACTTCATTAGAACAGTATTACACACAATGTACTTCATTAGAACAGTATTACACACAATGTACTTCATTAGAACAGTATTACACACAATGTACTTCATTAGAACAGTATTACACACAATGTACTTCATTAGAACAATATTACACAATGTACTTCATTAGAACAATATCATACAATGTACTTCTTTAGATGCTATCATTCCTTTCACTGTAAAATCACATATCGATTACAGTGAATTCAATGAATTCATATATCAAAAGGCACGACTATAAATGATTGATCAACGTTCGACTTATCTAGTGTTTCACCCGCCTAATCGTTCTCCAGTGCTTCGAATTCTAAAGAAAAAGCACCACGTCAATCCATGTAAATAGAACATGGCTCAGAATATACCACGTTCTTTAGCATCCAACGTCAAAATGCAGTTTTATTATTATTACATGGTAATACGTATGTATATCTAACTGTGAATTATTGGGATTCTGTGACACATGATGCAGTGATTAGGGTGTAACATTTTATAAATATACATATGTATGAAATTGTATTCTAAGGGCCGATATTTGTGTGTGATTTATGAATTCCTAAGTTTTATAAGGACGATAAAGATATTGAGAGAGAGAGAGAGAGAGAGAGAGAGAGAGAGAGAGAGAGAGAGAGAGAGAGAGAGAGAGAGAGAGAGAGAGAGAGAGAGAGAGAGAGAGAGAGAGAGAGAGAGAGAGAGAGAGAGAGAGAGAGAGAGAGAGAGAGAGAGAGAGAGAGAGAGAGAGAGAGAGAGAGAGAGAGAGAGAGAGAGAGAGAGAGAGAGAGAGAGAGAGAGAGAGAGAGAGAGAGAGAGAGAGAGAGAGAGAGAGAGAGAGAGAGAGAGAGAGAGAGAGAGAGAGAGGGGGAGAGAGAGAGAGAGAGAGACATAGAAAGAGAGAGGAGAGAGAGAAAACAAGCTAATGAGAGGGAGAGAGAGAAAATGAGAGAGAGACAGAAAGACATAGAGACAGACAGACAGGTCGAGAGAGAGACAAGAGAGAGAGGGGAGAGTAGAGAGAGAGAGAGAGAGAGAGAGAGAGAGAGAGAGAGAGGCAGAGAGAGATACACAGACGTTTTTGTGATTGGAGACAATGTAAGAATTATTAGATTGATATTTTACACATCATTTCACATCTGAAACAACCAACGATTTATTTGTTTCATATTTAAATGTTTCCTTTCGAAACAAAATAGGAAAATACCATGTAATCTCCGTCAAAAAAAGGAATGATATAAGTATTCAATCCAAGAGCTTTGCATCTGAGAGCAGGGATCTTATCACTGTGCTACCGTTACGTTATTGATACTAGACTTATTAATTGTAGAGTTTGAAATGTCAATGTTTCTTTCAAAAAAGATAATTGAACCCTGTTTGTCTGTTAAAGTTATTACTAAAACGAATTTACACTGACAGTTTAACACAATGGAGAATCGTCCACTGTCTTTCGATCAGTTTGAATTTGCCTTCAGAATTTTAGTCCCTTAACTGAGGAGAGGAATAAGGGCGAAACTGTTGTAAGGTGCATTAATTCATTACTTGGCGCTACTGTATCTAACTTTTTTCTTTCTTCTTGAAGGACAAAGTGACGTTTGAAGGCTTTTTTTTGGAGGTGACAAACCCCACCATCCACCCTTTTGTGTATTTTCTTATATATGTTCTGTAAAGACGTTTGTGTTGGTAAACACTCATTTGCATACATGGTGCTGTTTCATTTAAAATTCAATGCAACTAATAAAACCAAACCTACCGAGTGGTATTTTTGTTTATAATAACCATTTGGTTACTTTACGTAGCAATATTTTTACGAAAAAAACTGAAATACGGTGAGATTTTGAAGCTATTGGGTACTGGTGTAGCGGATCTGTTTTACAAACGTTCAATATACGTTACCTATACCGTGATACACAAAGGGCATCAGGTAGAAAATATCAAATAAGATTATTTAAACGGAGGTGAGGACCGAAATTTAATTTCACAATTTACAAAATGTAATACCCGACATTATTTCAATGTCTGATTTCGTTGGTATTCTTAAATTAGTGTGCTTTGAAGTGAATAGATTTGAAATACCGCGTTTAAGTTTTTTCCTTTTGTATATGTAGAATACAAAAGCGAGATTAAAACACGTCTTCATGAAGAAGTCAAGTGTGACTTTGCTGGCAAGCGTGGGCTGTCTCGTGAGCAAAGCTCTCGAAAATAGTGTTCCCCTTATACCCTTTCCTAGTCGCTTTTATGAATGAGGCCATAGCATGTCCGTTACGGTCTGCTGAGTTTATGTACACTCCTGGGGATCTACAGGAAATATGCAATTTCATAAAGGCCAATCTTTTAACACGTTTATTTATTTTTTTAATCAACTATCGTAAATTGCAAACAGTCAATATGCTGTATGATCCAGGGACCCTTATTACGAATGCCAGATTTGGTCATTCAGACTGGTTTATATAGACATATATAACGTAACGTCGAGAAATTGGCGATCGTGACATGTATTTGTTTGGCTAACACAGGTAGATTTCTCGGACAGTTGAAGAAAATCATTATAGATCTAGTTTCGAATAAAACGTTATAATGGTTTTAAAACATCCGTTTGATTTAAACATATTTAATTCCAAATAAATAGTTACAAAATAATTGGACATAAGTTTTCACAACTTATCACAGTATTTTTCTTCAAAATACATCATAGATACAAGCAATAAATCGATAGGACAATTTACGCAACTTTTTGATAGAGAGAGAGAGAGAGAGAGAGAGAGAGAGAGAGAGAGAGAGAGAGAGAGAGAGAGAGAGAGAGAGAGAGAGAGAGAGAGAGAGACAGGAAAATATATATATTAATATAAAAAGTCCCAACTGAGCTTCTAACACATGAGTCATAATTGATCACCTCGCCCATCCTATTTCAAAATTCGCCACATCTGTCTCAATTTTATCTAACCTTGTCATTGATGCACGGTTCCAGGGAAATCATTTTTAAGGGTAATATAAAACTGAAGTTCTAGCAACTAAAAAAAACCCTGATCAACAAATATTTGTTGTCAATTCACTATTCCACATCGACACCGCCATCTTGTTACCGCGAGCCAGGAAGCAGACGATGTTTCTAACGTGATTTCATAACTACTTAATATAAAATGTTATTTTCCCAAAATATGTGTTTGCTTTAAAAAGATATTTATTAAACGTCAAAAATCAGTTTATCATTAAATAAAGTAATAGAGCAGGGGAAAATGTAGTAAACAATAGACGTGTTAGATTAAATATTTGCTCTGTTGAGGATGATCGTTTTAAAGCTTTGCAATACTGACTTTTTCAAACATTAAAACGTCACAGACAACCAATATGGCGATGGAAGTAACCGCCGGCACGTGAAAAGCACATTACATAACGTGTATTACAGCAAGTAAACTTTGTTCAATGCCCCCGTGCGGTCAGATCATATAATTTAGTGATGATGTATTCAAATCAGTTGTTGTTAAGTCGTCACGGTCAGTGACATAAAAGTTCGTTTTATGATGTAAATACTTATTTAATTATTTTTTTAAATGTTGTATCGAGTTCTCAATTTGCATTGAATGGGCTATTATCTGACTAACTACCGAAAGCTCCCTAAAGCGTGAGATGATATAAGGCCTGTTGGTGCTAGTCAAAAATATATAAAGTTCGGGATGCGGTCACATGACTATTTCGCAATAGCTTACTCTTCAAAGGAGATATCCAAGTTGACATAGGCAGGCAAACATAACACCATTTACGAAACGGCTGCATGATGCAGTTTAATGGTTTGGACCTGTGTTCGTGTCATTTATTCAATCTTATAGAATCGCAAAACACTCCAAATACACAATGTGTAAGCCATCCAGAACACCAGTTGTGGGCTACTATTTAGCAATGAAATTATTATACTCTGTGAAACTGAGGGAAAATGTTAACAAAAGAATATTTGTCACGAAAAACGCTTCAGTATAGTTCACAACCATATATTTGTACCGCCGTTCATCTTTCTTGGAAAAGAAAGTTCTAATAAAAAGAAAACGAATGCATTCTTTCAGTTAAGAAAGTGGTTTGGTAGTATTCAGCGTGGAAAAATTAATGTTTTGATAGAAGAAATGCTTTCAGAGGAGGGTTTTGAAGATTGGCCAAGAGCGTTTGGTCAAAAGATCCTCAAGATTAAAACCGCCTTGTGGTTTATCGATTATTATCTCATAGTTGAGAACTGCATATTTCTTTGCTGAGCAGTATTTAACGTCGGATATCGTCAATGAAGATTATTCTTTCGTTTAAAGGATTTTGTTTATGATATAGCTTTTGTGACAAAGCGATGTTCACATTAAATCTCCATTACTCCAGACTTATACATTGCGATGCCATATATTTAACATATTATCTTCAGGAATAATTGTTGTAAGCTTGTGTTTTTAATTGTATACATTTCATGGCGGGTTTCGTTCGAAGCAAAAAACGCTATTCCTTCCAGAACACTTTGTCCTATTCCAGAGGTCAATATGTTAACCTTTCTGTTTTGAAATTTTGCCCTTTTTTCATCGATTATGATTTTGAATGAAGATTCTGTGGATATTTCTATATTTCAGTTTAAATCTTCATAAAGAAGATACAATAAACCAAAACAATCAAACTGCCTAGGATTAAAGATGTTGATTCAGCCCAAAGCCTCCCCGGTGGTAAGCAGTAGAAGTTCTTAAGTCAGCACTAGATTATGGCACGTGATCAGTATACGGTTTGGAATTACTTTGAAGCAGAGACATTTTTAAGCATTGAAAGTCACGTAAAAACCAAGACAATATTTGAATAAATTTTGTCTGATGCAGAACTCGTGTCATTCAGGAGATCGGGATATGATACAGTCGAACAGTAACCTTTGTGGATCTCTGAATTCCGTTCATGTTTGAGTTGTATGGCCGTTTTTGATTGAAACAATTCAAACTTAACCGAAGATTAATGAGCGCATCAAAGGAAGCTTTATGACACACTTAAAGAGTAAGAATATCTTGAGTGTTAATAGCTAGCACTTAATGCTTGTGTTATCAGTGACGCCTATTCAGCGTCAACAGATATCAATTTAGAGCTCATTATAAACTGGCGTGCTTATTGTGGTGAATTGAATCAAAATAAACCCTTATGAATAAATAATTATTATTCATACAGCGCACTGCCATGGATGTTATGAAACATTATACAGAATCACATAAAAAAACAGACAGCAAATAACGTCACAAACTGAAACAACCAGGATTCTTATCAACCCATTCATTACCAAAATATTGCGCATATGGGTTCATCTCGTCCCTCCGAATTAACCAATGATAGAACTGCTGACATCCTGCAATGGCGCCTTATGAGCTTGATAAACCAACGTAATAGTGATTTAATGGTTAATACTTTCCGACATTTCTAGATCTCAATCAAAAAGTCATAATATACATATCAACTTCCATTATCTCCATCACAAAAAAATCGAGAAAGCTTAGACCTGATTAAGTCCAATAACTATGTACCCATTATCAGAACGAGGCTCGTGTATACTAATGGAGCTAGTGATATACGCCGTCAGAGAGTAGTGGATTTAATGACAAAACGGAATTATATTAATAGAGACACACTCCTCGTTGTGTGTGGCCATCATCATATGCCAGGCACTGATAAAGGTCATTATATAATTGATGTATACATACTGACATTGTATACTTGTTTATCGTAATGTTTTGAAAAAGGACAAAATGCTGGTTTTTGACAGACGGATCTCAAAAGCATTGTAAAAATTGTTTATCTTACAACACAGGCACATCCTTAATCTTGTTTAACTGCTACTAAATGTACATCATGCAGATATCCTATCTTGATTGATTTATGAATTACAAAAAAGCATAATACTTCCTAAACCGTGTTCCTGAAACCCTTTCAAGCATTTTATCGTTTCTCTAATGTAGAGCTTACTGTTTGAGTAACCGTACTAACGATCGGCGTTATATCTCGCCAAGCCATGTGTCAGAGAAATTGAAGGATTGTCTGGATATTGGCAGATTCACTATATTGCTTAAAAATATGGAAATGTCATGTAACTTATATCTAGGTTTTAGCGCTAGATTCCACCATTAGGGAAATAATTCATATGCTATTCTACCACACATCCGCGTATTATTTGATAAAACCTTAAAAATCACCGAACAAATGGTAGTTGAGATATATATCATTAAGATCAATTGGTTTTGTCACGGAGAAAGTTGAAATACTATTGAGTCCTTTTTACAAACAATATCCGATAGAGGCAAAACATTGTCTCCAGAGTCAATATTTACAGATCGCGCCACTGGCTACTCGTTAATTACAGGGCATGTATGAACAACGGAACACATTTCTTGGAAACACTATACTGTAGCTTGCATTTTGCCGACCTACTTCCTCTCCGGAGAGCTGGCAAGTTCAGAGCGATGAAATGATTGACTTACTGTAGTTGACGTGAGCTTGATAAATTCTAATGTAGATTCCTCGCCGTCAAGTAGCACAGAAATACTCTTGTTATCGTCACTATCTGTAAAATACAAGACAGATAATTACTACAGTGTCTGATGCCTGATCTGAGAGATGTGACTAGTTTCATGATGATAATAATATGAAGAAGAAGAAGAAGAAGAAGAAGAAGAAGAAGAAGAAGAAGAAGAACAATAACAACAACAACAACAATATCAACAACGGTGAAACTACCGCGCAAACTAACAAACAGAAGAGGAGATGAGGAGGAGGAGGAGGAGAGGAGGAGGTGGAGAGGAGGAGGTGGAGAAAATGATGATGATGATGAGGAGGAGGAGGAGAGAACGAGGTGGAGGAGGAGGAGGTGGAGTAGAGGAGGAGATGAAAAGGAGAGGTGGAGGAGGAGGTGGAGTAGAGGAGGAGGAGAAGGTGGAGGAGAGGGAGAGGTGGAGGAGGAAGAGGAAGAAGAAGAGGAGGGAGGAGGAATGGGGGAGGAGGTGGAGGTGGAGGAGAGGGGGAGGATGAGAAGGAAGAGGAGGACTGGGGAGGAGGAGTAGGAGGAGGAGGGAGTGGGAAGAGGAATGGGGGAGGAGGAGGAGGAGGAGGAGGAGGAGGAGGAGAAGGAATGGGGGAGGAGGAGGGAGGAGGAGGAGAAGGAGGAGGAATGGGGAGGAGGAGGAGGAGGAGGAGGAGGGGGAGGAGGAGGAGGAGCAGGAGGAGCAGGAGGAGGAGCAGGAACAGGAGGATGAATGGGGGAGGAGGAGCAGCAGCAGGAGGTGGAGGAGAGGAGAATGAATGGGGGAGGAGGAGGAATGGGGGAGGAGGAGGAGGAATGGGGGAGGAGCAGCAGCAGTAGGAGGACGTCACCATTAACAGTTAGATCAAGAATAGAAAATACAACTAACAAAACCAACAAGAAACAGAAAAGATACAGATAATTCTCCATTTATCGGGATCGCGGGCATCTTAAATATCAGTAAAATGGTTAAACAAACAGTATGTATCAGTTGACTTAAATATACCAACACATTACTTCTAACTCCGCTGAAACTGGATAATCTTAGTTTATGACACAATGTCTCCACTTGTTCACCAGGGAAACTACGGATTGTTCATTATATGTCCCGAGAGTACATGTACCAAAAAAATAACTTCATCGCAGCAATCGCTGATGTGACAGCTCATTAGTAAGTTTTTGTCTCAGTATTACGGAAACCTTCAGCTGTCAGTCGTAATGACTCTGTACGTGTAAAAAAAGTAATAGAGAATCAGACTTCAAAATGATCGCTGCTTTTAAAGCTTTTAAAAGTCCATGGCGTTACCGAAAACAAAACATTGTGTTTTCTATCCACGTCATTGAGCAAACAAACCGTATCAGTGATCCAACAAACAACTTGACTTTGAGATTGATTTGGTCGCGGTATTCTCCTCTCGGTATTGGACAATGTATAATGAGATTTCTTAATTGAAATCTCCTGAGAGAGTTGATTACTCCATGTCACCAAAAGCAATTCTAGGATTTATGACATAATTGATTACCGAGTGGTACTTTTCGTGACAGCTTCAACACTTTGGAACATTGTTGATTTAAACACGCGGCAATGGTAACGTGCACACCTGGATACAAAGGATAAATGACCGGATCTCACGAATACCTGTCTAATTCTATCGACTCAATCAGTCAGTTCCGGTATAACTGTCTAATTCTATCGACTCAATCACTCAGTTCCCGTATAACTGTCTAATTATATCGACTCAATCAGTCAGTTCCCATATAACTGTCTAATTCTATCGACTCAATCAGTCAGTTCCCGTATAACTGTCTACTTCTATCGACTCAATCAATCAGTTCCCGTATACCTGTCTAATTCTATCGACTCAATCAGTCAGTTCCCGTATACCTGTCTAATTCTATCGACTCAATCACTCAGTTCCCGTATAACTGTCTAATTCTATCGACTCAATCACTCAGTTCCCGTATAACTGTCTAATTCTATCGACTCAATCACTCAGTTCCCGTATAACTGTCTCATTCTATCGACTCAGTCAGTCAGTTCCCGTATAACTGTCTAATTATATCGACTCAATCAGTCAGTTCCCGTATACCTGTCTAATTCTATCGACTCAATCACTCAGTTCCTGTATAACAGTCTAATTCTATCGACTCAATCAGTCGGTTCCGGTATAACTGTCTAATTCTATCGACTCAATCACTCAGTTCCCGTATAACAGTCTAATTCTATCGACTCAATCAATCAGTTCCCGTATACCTGTCTAATTCTATCGACTCAATCACTCAGTTCCCGTATAACTGTCTAATTCTATCGACTCAATCAGTCAGTTCCCGTATAACTGTCTAATTCTATCGACTCAATCACTCAGTTCCCGTATAACTGTCTAATTCTATCGACTCAATCACTCAGTTCCCGTATAACTGTCTCATTCTATCGACTCAGTCAGTCAGTTCCCGTATATCTGTCTAATTCTATCGACTCAATCAGTCAGTTCCCGTATAACTGTCTAATTCTATCGACTCAATCAGTCAGTTCCCGTATACCTGTCTAATTCTATCGACTCAATCAGTCAGTTCCCGTATAACTGTCTAATTCTATCGACTCAATCACTCAGTTCCGGTATAACTGTCTAATTCTATCGACTCAATCAGTCAGTTCCCGTATACCTGTCTAATTCTATCGACTCAATCAGTCAGTTCCCGTATAACTGTCTAATTCTATCGACTCAATCAGTCAGTTCCCGTATAACTGTCTAAATCTACCGAATCACTGAATCACCTCCCGAATACCCGATTAAATCAACCGGATCACTGAATCTCCTCCCGAATACCCGATTAATTCTAAAGAAGAAATGAGTCATCTTCCGAATTAATGCTAACATGTTATTCTACCGACGAACCGATCTCTAGAATATCTGTTAAACTGCTTGGAATTTTGGTTGATTAAAGCTTGTAAAACAATGTTGAACTGAGCGAGAAAAAAAATCAAAACGGTCATTTGACTCATGGTGTAAACAATCAATTGTCTGTTGTAGTATTTTTTTGTTTTTCCGTGTATTCTCTCATAACTTGTATTTGTCTGATTTTACGTCAAGTTGTTTTCATTTTGTTTTACAGTGCAAACATTGCGTGATTTTTTTAAATTATTTCTCGACGTAAACCATCGTGTGTATTCTCCATGCCGTCTTTTACGATAAACACGGTACATTTTATCGGAATAGTTTTTCTGCTTTCCATTAGAAAATTCGGTTCCCCAGAGTATTATATATTCTATTATGATAATCAAGGAATATGACGTTTAAACTAACCTGACAGTTAAATGTCTGCTTTGTGTTGAGGGCATTAGCGGTTTATATCTGTAGGGCATTTTAATTGTCTGTCACTCAGACCATCATTAAGTGGTATAATGGGTATGTCTAGTTGGTATTATTTATGCTACGTTGGTTGAGATTAGCTCTAAGTGTAACAGATCGGTCAGCTACTACTGACGTTGACTTTAAACACTTGTTCTGTAAGAAAAAAATGTGTGTTGGTAGAATGAAATTCCAACTGGTTACATTACATTACGCACTATCAACAGTTCAACACTTTATAAAACACAGTTGGAGCTATTGGTTTTTAATCCTAACCATGATTCGAAGCGTAAAATTAACTGCTGAAATGATAAAAAAAAAAAAAAAAAAAAGAATGAACAAAGTATCATGATATTACGGCGGTTGCTTTGTGTCATATCGTTGTTTCGCGAACGAACATACCTTAATTGTCGTCTTTCCGTCTTTTCGAGGCGAAAACATGAACAAATGAGAGTTTTGAACCCGAATAGACGAAGAATAAAGTAGTTCATTTGCGTGCATTTACATCGTCTTTTCGTGTATGATTTGTTGTTTTTTCTGAGCTACTCTTCCTTAAACTGTAGTGATGTTGGCAATAAAAAATAACCATTTGTTTTGGTTCCAGTAAACTGAATCGATGAATGTGTGAAAGATATACTTTTGTATCAAGATTTTCTATAACAAAGAGATAGCGTAACGAGTCTATTTTCGAAGTCACTTCACTTGATTATAGTACTTATAAAAAGACGCTTGGCAAATCGACTTCATAGGTTTTGTGAGACTTTTTCTCTGTCATGCGCCGTACGTCATCCGGTTACTTTCACATATATAGCTTCTTTTCAAGAACCATTGAGTCAATTCAAACCAAACGTGGTCACTAGCATCAATACCTGAAGATGCAAAATCGGTATTCCTCATCCTCTTGGGTTCACGGCGTGGGACGAAAACAGTAAAAATGTGTTATTTCAAATATCTTCTCTCTTGGGAGACAAATATTATCATGCACTTAATATGCCAGTAATGCCGATCAGTAGCTCTATTTTAAAACGAGATTTCTTGTCTCATATGGACGTACCGTTAACCTCCAGGGACAGAGGATATTTTTTGGGGCGGAGCCAAAATATTGAAAAAACAATAATATCGCAATTCGTATGAAAACCGTCATCTTTTTGTATAAGAATATGCAAGTGAAAGTTTCAGGAAATGATGCAAAGACTTTGTTCGCCAAGTTGTAAGATCACCTGATCAAAGGCCATCAACACTTTTCTCTAAACTTTTTGTATAGATAATACTAAAAAGCTGTAGGAAATAATGTAAAGATTATTTTGACCTAGATTTAAGGTCATGGGGTCAAAGGTCAGCGAGACATAAAAGTAATAAGCCTGCAAATTTTCTTCGAAACCACCGCCTTTTTGTATTTATAGACAATTTGTAACATTATTTCTCTCTTTTTTTGTCGCGAAAAACAGCACTCACTCATCCAAAACATTTTCTGGGAGCTGCATGTTTGTTATTTATCGGCATTTCAGAGTCTTTTTTATAAAGCAAAATTGACTAAACAGAACCAATGTCACAGAAAGATGTTGGAACCATAAAGACTTCATTGTAACGTTTTATCTTATCATATTACTGACTCATCCATTACCTGCTGTGAACAAGTGATATGCTTTCACTGGCAATTAATATTTCCTGCCAACTATCATAACCTAAAATTGC